AGTATACAAGTTTCTGAACCTAAAACCGCCCAGACCCCAATTTTTAAGGACCTCGGTCGTCCGTAATGACGTCATCAAAATGGCGGCCGTAAGAGGATGCTGGGTCCCCATGAATTGGCTGTAACGACCGAATGACTGAACCGATTTTTATGAAATTTGGCAAACAAGTGCTTTAATACATTATCTCGGCCTGGGTTGAAATTGGTAAAGTTTCATAAAGTCATTTCAAAATGGCGGCCGTTAAAACCTAAAATTAAAGTGTTTTGTGTTCTCAACTCCCTCCAGAGATCTGCAGTAACCTATTCACTTTCCTTGCAATAAAAGGTTGCATTACCGTCTCTGCATTTCATAACATTAGGTTTCATGAGTACCTAGGTTTGCTGCTACAAGGAGATTAATAAAGTGAGTTTTTATTAATGTATTAATAGCTTAGTTTAAAATAAATAAATTTGCCAAGTTTCATTAAAATATAATCATAAACAAGCAAACTACAACAGTTTATATTGTACTCTCTGTAATGATAACATGGGAATTTTAAATTTACAATGTTTTAAATTTTCTCCGTAACCAATTACTTATAATACCCCCGCCGCAGCAAACCTGCAGACTTAGCGAATTTCCATTTGCCTGATTGGATTTACTCTAAAATATCTCCTTAAAAATATCACATTTATTCCCCATTTAAATAGCATTTGTTTAACGAGTACTTACGTTTGCTGCAACAGGGAGGGTAAAAACATATTTTTTTATGAAATGTAATAGTATAGTATGAAATGAATAATTTTTACAAATTTGATCAAAATATGTTCATAAACAAGCAAAATACAACAGTTTACTTATTCTCCATTAGAATAACATGGGAATTTAAAATTTTTTTTTTAATTTTCTTGGTTACCGTTAGGCACATAATGACACTTCAATATACTAAATTATTTGTTTCTCTTTTAGCTCCACAATATGGTTTGGAAAGAAATTGCTAAATCTTATGTTTTTTGGGTCCAAAATGGGAAAAACCAAATTTCACCCCATAAAACCCCCCATAAACCCCCGTTCCCATAGTCCGATCATGCTGGTTCGAGTAAACATATAAAATGATGGATATCTATTAACGAAGCGATTTTGTAAAAAAATGTTATTCCTTATGTTCTTCTTATTTTGATCCAATGAATCAATTCTTAAACTTTGTCCCTACCTTTTTTGAACACACTGTATATGTGTGTGTCCGTTAGCAAAAATTATCCGATCTTAATGAAATTTTGCAAAAACGTGTAAACCAACGTTTCTTCAAACAAGATCGCGAACCAGCGTGGTCGGACCATGGCAACGGGGTTTTTGGGGTGATTTAAGGGGTAAAAATTGGGTTTTCTTATGTTCGGTCTTATGTTCGAACCTCATGTTTGACCCTCAAAACATGAAATTCCCTAATTTTTCTCTAAACTATTTTGAAGATCTTAATCAAACAAATAATTAGTGAATTGAAGTGTTTTTATGAGGTTATTGGTTACGGAGAAAATTCAAAATATTGTAAATTTAAAACTCAAATGTTATTATTACGGAGAGTACATAAACTGTTGTAGTTTGCTTGTTTATGATAACATATTTTGAAACATGGCAAATTTATTTATTTTAAACTAAGCTATTAATATATTAATAAAAACTCACTTTATTAATCTCCTTGTAGCAGCAAACCTAGGTACTCATGAAACCTAATGTTATTGACATTGATTTAATTGAAAATCAAATCAGGGAAATTGAAACTCACTTAATCTGCAGGTTTGCTGTGGTGGGGGTATTTTGCCTATTCCATGAAATGCAGAGACGGTAATGCAACCTTTGATTGCAAGGAAAGTGAATAGGTTACTGCAGATCTCTGGAGGGAGTTGAGAACACAAAACACTGAAAGATTATTTTTTATTTGAGCTTTTAACGGCCGCCATTTTGAAACGATTTTATCAAACTCGACCATTGACAACCTGGGCCGAGATAATGTATTAAAGTACTTGTGTGCCAAATTTCATAAAAATCGGTTCAGGCATTCGGTCGTTATAGCAACAATTCATGGGGACCCAGCATCCTCTTACGGCCGCCATTTTGATGACGTCATTACGGACGACCGAGGTCCTTAAAAATTGGGGTCTGGGCGGTTTTAGGTTCAGAAACTTGTATACTATAACCACCTAAAATTGCAGCCTCTCTGCCAGAACTGAAATATTCTGCCACTATATGCAGCTATACGACCCCACTATTATTATATTTCTACAAAACAATTATAACATTATTTAGACAAATTGAAAACTAATAACATGTGTTTCTCAAAGTGTTGTTAAAAAATCATCCAAAGAGGACCAAGTTAAAGATTTCCAACAGCTTGCCTTTACGCCAACTACTTCCTTCACTACTTCCTACGTCACGGACCTGATTCCCTCCCTTCCCATAGCATCATAGGATTGCAAATACCTTAATATAATGGTCATAAACAGATCCCTAACCCTGAACAGCTCGCCTTTACTACTTCCTTCACCACTTCCTACGTCGCGGGCCTGCTTCCTTCCCTTCCAATAGCATTTTAGGATTGCAGATACCTTAATCTAATCGTCATAAACAGTTCCCACACTCCGGACAGCTCACCTTGACTACTTCCTTCATCACTTCCTACTTCGCGGACCTGTTTTCCTCCCTTCCCGTAACATTTTAGGATTGCAGATACCTTAATCTAATCGTCACAAACAGTTCCCACAGTCCGGACTGCTTGCCTTTACTACTTCCTTCACTACTTCCTACGTCACGGACCTGTTTTCCTCCCTTCCCGTAACATTTTAGGATTGCAGATACCTTAATCTAATCGTCACAAACAGTTCCCACAGTCCGGACTGCTTGCCTTTACTACTTCCTTCACTACTTCCTACGTCACGGACCTGTTTCCCTCTCTTCCCATAGCATCATAGGTTTGCAAATACCTTAATATAATCGTCATAAACAGTTCCCACACTCCGGACAGCACGCCTTGACTACTTCCTTTACCACTTCCTGCGTCGCGGACCTGTTTTCCTCCCTTCCCATAGAATTTTAGGAATGCAGATACCTAAATCTAATCGTCATAAACAGTTTCCACACTCCAAACTGCTCACCTTTACTACTTCCTTCACCATTTCCTACGTCACGGACCTCAAGCTAGTGTCGTCATTTGATTATATTTATGTTCCATACCGTTTCTGTTCAAAGTCAACAGCTGATATGTCTTTGTTTATGTGTCAAATACTGCTTCCATAAGGATTACATTGAAACTTTGAGACCCATTGGGGCGGATTCCTGAGAGACTTTTTTAGCGCCATATAGATGTTGGCACCCACCGATATAGTCTTTATGACCATGCAAAATTTGAAAACGATTGCTTCAGCCGTGTAGGAGGAGTTTGCGTATTACGAAATGCATAAGAGTCGACGTATAAGAGCTTCGCTCGCTCCGCTCAATGAACTTAGGGATGAACATAAGTCTAATATTGCATTATCTAGATTGAAACACTGCTCTCATCCACCGTTGTTCTCATCACCTATGTTTAAGTCAAAGTCGGAATGTAAAATAACATCTTTACCTTCAGCAAACTGGTCTCACCTCTTTCACACATATGGCAATCTATTGTATCATCATTCTTAACAATGGGAGCGAGCTGATCTAGTGGTAGAGTGTGGTACTTCTGTCCCAGGTTCAAATCCCACTAATCACCAATAGATTTTATGTAAGTGATTATACCACAACTTTTAGGCCCAGCCTGAAGTAATACAACAAATGATTCCCGTCTGAAGAAAAAAAAAACCATAAAATGTTTGAACTTTAAACCACTAGCAGTTACCCGGCGTGCGTTGCTGCGCTAACAACTATTATTTTATATAATAATTTGTTCTTTACGATAAATAATAAAAATGTATACCAAAAATAAAAATAGAATATTTATTTTACTTAACTGCCAGTGGAAGTGGATAGACAATGTTTTTTCGTTTTTTCATTAGGTGTATACTATAAATATATAAGTTTTTAAGCGTACCTACCACCACGTGAGCATGCAACATACAGCTGTCCATGCGAAAAGCATGAATTTTATAAATTTAAACTGGCGATAGTCAGGGATTGCCCTTATGCCTTATAATGGTGATTGCGAATTGAATTGGAAATTGTAGTATCTTGAATTCAAAGGTAATTCGGATGAAATCATCAGTATTCTTGGGATTAAGAATATTTCTCCTTTTAACTTACCACTGATGATTGTTGCTTCGATCAAGTTTGGTGTCATTTTTTATTTCATAGTCAGTCTGGTTCTGTTGAGCAGCTTGGGTGGATTTAAGTTTGGTATTAGTATTATCGGAGTTCATTCTTTTAATGACAGTAATGTGGTGGGTTAATGACAAATCGGGAGGCATTTGGAATACCTGAGATAGAAGAAAAAAAGATAAAAATATCAAGGGATTGCCATCCCTTTTATTGTTTATAATTTGATAAAGGTTTTTACGTTTTATGTTTACATATTTAAAATAGTGGACAATTCAAACATTTTTGAGTGCACAGGTGTGCTGCGATTGGGGTTGGACTTATCCAAAAGTAAATAGTTTCCTTTGCTGCATTCTATGGAAATAGTGTGGCACGGACTATTTCGAATCATGACTAATACAGAATGTTGTGATTATTCAAACCTGATGCTGTGTGTACTATACCTCAACTCACACTGAATGTATCAATGGTTTTTGGACTAAGTGATTCATATTAGACAAGGAACAAAGAACTTTAGTTTCTAGACGGGAAACAACGGGTGATAAGTTGGGGACTAGCATCACAGAATTGAGTCATCTGAAATCCCACCCCTTACCTAAAACGTTCTAGAACGACCATTCTCATAGAAAAATCATAGAGGCCGCACTTATCAACTAGTATTTTGCTTTACTCTCAAAGAAGTTGGAATGACAATGTATTGGAGGAAGGAAAGATGAATGAAGTGTTTTAAACAGGTTATAAAAAATAGTTTATTGTTCACGCAGTAAGGAGGTGTGTGCAGCAGAGTGTCAATGCTCTACCTTTTCTTGGTGCTCGTAGCTGCAGCCACTGCTCTTGGTTAGGTACGTACATCTCAGCTGGCATCAGCTCCGGTGTGCGTGCAGGGCTGTCATCCGAGTCTGTGACAACACATCAGTTAGATTTGACAGGAGTAAACCCTCCATACCCATGTTAAAGTTGTAAACAGTGTTAGCATGAGAATGGATGCAGTTCAACTGAGCTACAAAGAGTGTATTGATGTAATTTACTAATTTCTGTCAAATAGACCTACTCCAACTTTTAAATCTAGCACCAACCTGATCTAAAATAACAACTAAACTATGTATAGCACCTTGTATGTTACATTAATAGTAAAAGTATCAAAAATAAGAGCAAAAAGGAATTTTTCAGCACCATACTCTATGAATGGCTTATTCAACCATACTCTATTCTAATTAAATGGTGGTCCATATATGAGGGCCTCAGATGCAGAGAGTTGTTCATAAATCAAGGTCTTCGAGACCTCTTGTTGTTTGTGGTTGGACTTAGAAAGTGTGCAGTAGTCACATGGGGAGTGTATGGGCCTTTACAAATTTGTACAACAGGGCTGGCAGAAGTTGTTCATCAGTTTCCATTGTGATAGTTATTGAATTGAAATTGAACTAAACTTTGCTGCAAGATTTGCCTTTTTCAGAATTCTAGGGTTGACCGTTCGTAGTCCTTGATAGTCTTATAGAGTAGAGACGTCCCCTATTAGTTTAATAATCCCTCTCATTCAGTCACACCATGGTCAGCATACAAAATTATCCCCAACATTGAGAAAATGAGCCTGATGAACAACAGCAGTTTGCTTACACCATGGAAAACATTGTGTAGCGTAGACCGGGGGAATCGCGCCACCTTGAGTGAAATTGAAATTTCATGCAGAACTGTGTTAGAATTGATGTAAATTGTAATAAATAAAGCATACTAAGTTTGATAACCTATGTTGTAGTATTTTTTTGAAATCGAAATCTTTAATAGAAAGTAGAAACAAAGTAAATTTTTTTTCTAAAAGCTTGCACAGTGGCGGAATTACCCCGGTACCTGGAGTTATTCCGCCACACCACTGGGGTGCCACCACACCATCAAGACACAGCAAATAATCTATGAATAATGGTAAAGGATGTAATAAAACACAACATATAGTATAGTTGAGTAAATTACTATTAGGTAGGCCAAGTTAGTCTCTGTCGTTCTAATTTGAGCAAAAATCACATGGGTAGTTTTCTTGAGTATTGTAACCACTGCACTATGAGTGTGCCCATTTTCCACATATTACACACTGATACCACATTTCAGAAGTAGGACCATACTCCCCGTACACTAACAGTATTCAACGTCCTCGACACACAAATCAAAAGTATTGTCGTCGTCATAATTTTGCTTAATGGCACATCTTCCTCTGAAGAAGAGTCAAAGTCTATTTGACTTCTACAGGTCCCACATTTTGTATTAGTATTTCTCCCAGGGTTTCTTTTTCTTCCTTCTTAATTCGTGGTTTCTTTTTAGGCTGAAGACCTATGTCTAACTTGCTGTTAAATATTTTCAACAGTTTTGCTGCTGCCCTTTTGGCAGCATTTGATTTGTTCAACTCTCTCTGTTTCCTTTTTTCTAAAGCTTCTTCAAGAGTGGTTTTCATTGGAGTTAACATGGACAGCTGTTCAGCTGCCAAAGCTGGGAGTGGAGAAAAAGTTATTTATAACTGATGTAATCTTTCCACTGTTGTTAAAGAGCTGTTTCAGAAGTGACTTTCTTTGACATTCCCGATGGACCTGGCAGATCTAAGTAACCATCCTGCTCATTGATAGCAAGTGTTTGTTCTTCAGCGACTAGATTTTGGTAAATAGTAGGTTTGTTGTTCACAGGTGTCTGAGATTGGTTGTTTTAGGCTTGGTTGTAGATTTTTCTTGTTTCCTCGCCAACTAGGTCGTCAATGACAAGTCCTCTTAAACAGCGTTCAGACAAAAAATCTTTTTCTTTAAACTTGTCTCAATTTACTGGATGAATGCCTGTGCTTGCAAAGCCTGATACGGCTTTTTCTATGGTCGCCACATCCATATAAGCTTGGTTGAAAATGTGAGCAATGTCGTAGGGTGTGATTTTCTTGTAAACATTAGCCCTCATAAACTTGTCAAACTCCTTATTGAAAGCGCTTGTCAGTGGATAAAATGACACATCTAGTGGCTGGATCTTGTGTGATGTGTGAGGAGGTATTGACAGAATGTGAATGTGATTCTTGTGGCAGAATGTGTAGCTGTCTAAGGAGATATGTCTCCCATGGTTGTCCATAACTAGGAGAACCGGTTCGTCTTGAGTTGGTTTGCAAAACCGCTTGTTGAAACCAGCCCAAAAAAGTGCCTCGTTGGACCAGCCATTGTGAGAGCAACTAAAAATGGAACCGGTTGGTCCACCACGTTCAAGAAGAGGCATCATTCTTTTGGGAGGAAATATGAACATCGGGGGTACATACTGGCCGGATGCAATAAAAACACAGACTACGGTGACGTTCCGTCCTCTTTCCCAACTTGTAACTCCACCAACTTGTTTGGTTAGCCCTTTGGCGCTAGAATGTGGCCAGGCTTTGGAACAGATGAAATCCCAATTTCATCCATGTTTAAGACTCGACTTGTTGGAAATTTGTGATTGTACATTAGATTTTTGAGGTTATTAAAAAATAAGTCTACTTCCGATTTGTTGAAGCCTATTACTCAGCTAAGACCTGTGCATTGCCCAGTGTGGATCATTCCCCCGGTCTCCCCTAAGTATTTAAGACCACCTCCGAACTCCCTCTACCTCTAGCTCACATTTTCTACTTCCATATACTTAACTGTATTAACGTCAGTAAACTTGTGATAGTGGTCTTAGTAACCACAGTCAAAAGCTGTTGACGACTGTACCACCAATTTTTTTAAAAGATGAGTAGGAAACACGAGTGGGTATACTGTTGACTTAAGCAGGAAACCCACTGGTCCGACACTCTCCGACACGTCACCTTCCGTCAAGGCTCCGACACCTTCCGACAGAATTACTTTGCATTATTTTAAACGGACTGTAACCCACTAGTCAGACACGACACCTTCCGATCCGACACGTCACGACAACATTGCTCTCTGGGGCATTCTTGTCGGATGTCGGATCCGTCATTTCTTAACTCTGTGTGCACTAGGCCTAGATTTACTGTCTAGCTTTGTGTGTGATCACAATATGTGGAACGGATATGGAACATGTGATCACAAGAGTGTGGTGTTTTTGTACAATTATTGGTTATGGAGAATATTCAAAGAATTTTTATTTTAAAATTCTCATTTTATTCTTATGGAGAATATTATAAAATAGCCTATTGTAAGTTTGCTTTCTGCTGGATATATTTTGATCACACTTGGTAAATTTCTTTATTTTATACTAAGTTATTAATACTTTACTAAAAACCACACTTTTTACCCTCCCTGTAGCAGCAATCCTAGGTACGCATAAAACCTAATGTTAATTAAATACACTTAATTGAAAATCAATTTAGGTAAATAGAAATTTGCTTAGTCGGCAGGTTTGCTGCGACGGGGGTATTATTGTTTACGTTTTGTACTGTACTTTTTGCTAACTTCCCTGTAGTACAGTAAATGTTACCGGAATTATCAAGGTGGGTCTAGGAAGGTCCTTGACCATTGTAATCTCTCATATTAACAGAGATCGTCATTAATGTTATGGACTTTTTTTCATTAATTTTTCCCTAACTACTGCTTGTGAACAGTATGTGATCCTTTGTTCCATCGCAACTGGCACTGTTAAGAGTGATGGTGTATTTCTCGTCGGAGGCCTACTACTGTCGGAGCCCGTCGGACCAATGGGTTAATGCCTTAAAATTGCGGAAGGCGTCGGAAGGTGTTGGAGACTTGACGGAAGTTGTCGTGTCAGAGAGCGTCGGACTAGTGGGTTTCCTGCTTTAAGTGAAAGTAAATTACTAACACCTAAGGTTTTTACTGTTACAATAATTATCTTTTATTTTACTGAAGTACACACACAACATTTTTTTACTCAAACATAACTTATTCAACAATTCTCATTACAATAAAAACAATCCTAACTATTTACACATGATCAGCTGTTACCAACATAAATTAAATTAAATACAGAACAAGTAACAGCAAATGTATTATATAAAAATAAAATTACATTCAACACCTTCCCTTAATTTTAATTTTATACAAGAAACAAAAAATAAATATCTCGATTATCGTCTTCTGTTCAAGATTTTGGATAGTTGATCAAAGCTTTGCTAAATTGATGAAACTTAACATTGTTCAAGGGTTTTGTAAACATATCCGCAACATTCTCGGATGTAGAAACAAAAGAAATGTTTATTTTACCTTGCCTTACATTTTCAGTCAAAAAATGGTAGCGAACATCAATGTGTTTGCTTCGCTTATTAAAAATTCCATTTTTACAAAGCTTAATAGCACTTTGATTGTCCATGTTTAGGTTTGTTTCAACATTAGTTCCACTCAACTCTTGCAAGAAAGTTTTTAAATATAAACACTCTTTGACACATTCCGCCGCTGCAATGTATTCTGCTTCAGTGCTGGACAAAGCTACAATCGGTTGTCTTCTTGTACACCAGCTTATTGGGTCTTCTCCATACATTATGACAAATCCAGTAGTACTTCTTCTTGTATGCTTGCAATTTGCATAGTCTGCGTCACAATATACATTTAGTTAATTTTCTCCTGATGCTGAAAATAATATTCCTGCGTCTTGAGTACCTTTAATTATCTTAAGGTTCGTTTGACATTTACAAAATCTTCATTGCTTGGATTCTCAACACGTCTACTTTCTAATCCCACAGCAAGTGTAAGATCAGGTCTGGTTTTATTGGATAAGTACAGCAAACTTCCTACAACTTCTCTGTAAGGAGAATCTTTTGTCAGGCAGCTTACTTCTTCATCAGGTTTGCTCGTTTTCAATGGACAAATGGGAGTGTCTACAGGTTTACAATCTATCATTCCATATTTTTCGAGAATACTGTTTGAATAGTTCTTTTGTGTTAACAATATCCCTTCCCTTGAATATCAAATTTCCATTCCAAGAAAGTTTGATGGGTTTTCGTCTGTTTTTATTTTAAAATCTCTAGACAGCTCGTCCAAAAGTTTCTTCATCTCTCTTTCATCTGAACCAGCAAGAATTCCATCATCAACAAATATAGCAAGATGAATACTGCCATTTCTAAAAACACAACGGTCAGACTGAGTTTGTTTTAAGCCATATTTTAGTAAGCAGTTTGTAAACAACTGGTTCCATTTAAATGGAGCTTGTTTAAGTCCATATAAAGTCTTTCTTAATATCAAAACTTTATCTTTATTATCAAACCCTTCAGGTACATACATATAAATTTCTTCATCTAAATTTCCATAGAGAAAAGCAGTTTTAACATCAAATTGCATTAGTTTGAGATTTTGTTTGGCAGCTAATGAAAACAACAAACGTAAAGTTGAATTACTTACAACTGGGCTGTAGGTTTCTTCATAGTCTATACCTTTTTCTTGTGCAAAACCTCTTACAACTAGTCTCGCTTTGTATTTTCCGTTATCCTTTCTTGTTAATACCCACTTGTTACTTAGGATCTTCTTGTTTAGTGCTTGCTTTTTGTCAACCACTTCCCACGCTTCATTCTCAATTAGGGAGTTTTTCTCATCCTCAATTGCTTGTAGCCAATTTTTTTTATCTGGTCCTTTTATTGCTTCTTCATATGTCAACATCACAAAATCTTTATATCTTTCAGGTAGTTTAGTTTTTCTTCTTAGTTTGATGCTTTGTGTAGTATCAGTATTACTTGAACTTGGCTGTTCTTCATTGATTTCATTTTTGTCTGAAACCAACTCAAACTCTACTTCATTATTACTTATCTCACTTAGATTATCTGTACTCTCAATATCTTCATTTTCAGTTTTGTCTGCACTCTCACTATCTTCATTTTCAGTTTTGTCTTCTTTCTTGTCATTTTCATTTTTGTGTTCTTTCTTGTCATTTTCATTTTTTTCTCCTTTCTTGTCATTCTCTGTTGTATTTTCAGAGAAAGTAACCTCACCACCATTATTAGTTATTGCAGAAACAGACAAGTTTTTACTGAGTTCAGGAACATATAGCACATTATTTGTGCTACATACATTCTTTGGATTTTACAGTTCCACTCGTTGAAGCTAACATGGTTTGATTTTTCTTAGCAACATATATTTCAGAAGAAATATTTTGTTTATTACTTAACAAATCTTCACAATTTGTCATATGTGAAGATGTGCCTGAATCAACAACCCATTCAGATACAAAGTTTACAGTCCCACTATTACCCCGAACATTTTGTCCATCATCATACGACAAAAAAGACACAGTTTTACTAGCGGGCATTTAGGTTCTGGCTTTTTCTAAAGTAACAATCTTTTTCATTATGATTTTACTTTTTACATATATTACAAAATAAATTTGGCTTTACATTTCTTTTTTCAAACTTGTTAACAACATTTTTTACATTTCCACAGGTGTTTGCTAAATGACCAACAGCATTGCATTTAAAACAACGCCTCTCATTATCAGAGTTAGCCCTATTGTATGTAGGCTTCTTGCAGTACTTTGCTTTATGACCTGGAATTTTACAGTTGTGACAAACAACTTGGAACGCAAGATTTTTCTCTAGGCTTACCTCCTTTAACTCACTTCTTGACTCTTCTGCTAACAGTCTCGCTGTTAGATTTGCCAATGTCTTTTCTTCATTGGGCATTGATTCCCAGGCAGTTACAAAATACTTAAATCTATCTGGCAGACTGACAAGAATTTTTGATATTACCATTTTGTCATCAATATCTTGTTTTAAAGTTTTTAGTCTGTGTGCTATGTTTTCAATTCTACTTATGTGAGAACTTATATCAGAATTAGGCTCATACCTGAGGTTAAAGAATTCTTGTAATAACGAGTACTTCTGCTGCTCTGAGTCTCTTTCATAAATATTACACAGCTTCAAAAACATTTCTCTTGAGTTTTCACAGTTAATGATATGTAACATCGGTCCCTTCTCAATAGAACTAACTATACACTTCTGAGCCTTGGCATCTCTTTTAATCCAATCAGCCTTCTTCTTTCCATCACCCATATCTTCAAGTTTCTCAGAACCATCAACAATACTCATCAAATCACTGGATTGAAATATTATTTTAATCTGAAATTTCCACAATGGAAAAGTTTCAACTCCTTTGAGTTTTTCTACGAAATCATCTTCTTTTACTGATGCCATTGTTAGTCTTACTTTTACTTTTTCACTCACCTTCACTACACTTTAACTCTTAGGTTTTTACCAGAAGATTACTTCTTGTTTTTACAGTTATGGTTGAATCAATGAATTTTTCTGGGCCCCATAACCTGTTGACTTAACCCTCTATCTGGCGCTGGTCGATTTTAGACCACTAAAACGTGAGTTCTCAGTGGCGCTGGTCGATTATAGACCAAGATGACATGGGTCATGTTTTTCTATTATTAAAATATGAAAACGGTTTTAAAACGCAATAAATCTTATACTATTAGAAAGATGGGATTCTGAGGATTCATTTTCATGCATAAAACATTATTGAGTGAGTATTATGTAGCGAGAAACGGTAGTTTGAAAAACTAGAGAGTTCAAAATAGATTTTGGCGGTGGAAAGTTTTGGTCACCTGACTACAACAACAGCTGTTTTTGGTGATTGTCAATTAAATTGTATACAATATTAGTACATATTCTGAAACTACAATAAATTCCCTACAATTCCCTGTGAATCTATAAGGTTGATTGTAAAAATTTTATTTGTTTTTAAAAATGTCATAAATATTATTTTTTTGTAAAAAAATCTTCAAAATTTTACATTCCGACGTAAATTTCTCCGACATTTTAGATTTCAACTAAATACAACTATATATTTTCAGAAAGATCTTTTTATTACCTATTGTACAGTATCATTTCATTTTTTGTTGATGCATTCTATTATTTCCTATGTGACAAAAAATAATTTGCTAGTTTTTCAAAAAAGAAAACGTGTATGAAGAATTTATTTTTTATAATTTTATTTTTATGAGTATTTAAAAAACATTGATATTTCTACGTAGGGAATCATATTTCACACAAACTTTACATTTAGATAAAATGTGTAAAAAAATTATTTTGTGGTTTTCTTGTGGGTTGTTTTTGAAATTTCTAATTTGCATAATCCAAAAATTTGCAAACCTTTTGCTACTACGCCTAAACGCATTGCTAGGAAAAGAATATTTTTATATTATTATATTATAAATTCATCACTGAAATAGAAAATATATATATGTGTGTACTTATATTCACAAATAAATGTTCTGTGGCAAAATATATGATACCACTACAAAAGCGCCAAAATATACCCGCCACTGGTGAATAAAATGACCGCCAGATCAAGGGTTAAGTGAAAGTAAATTACTAACACCTAAGGTTTTTACTGTTACAATAATTATCTTTTACTTTACTGAAGTACACACACAACATTTTTTTACTCAAACATAACTTATTCAACAATTCTCATTACAATAAAAACAATCCTAACTATTTACACATGATCAGCTGTTACCAACATAAATTAAATTAAATACAGAACAAGTAACAGCAAACATATTATATAAAAATAAAATTACATTCAACATATACACACTGTAATTTTGATGCATGATAATTAATTTAGACTCAACAAATTGATTTCTGCCACATCTCGCTATCCAAATTATCCAGCAAACAAATTTGTTGTAAATTGTAGAATCTTTACTATGCACGGTGTATATTCTTCTTCAGTAGGCCTAATTTCGGTTTAATGAATTTATGTACAAAGAGATTACCGTGTTTCTTGCGGGAGGGAGCAATTGTCATGGGGATTCGTTCTCCAGGTCGCCGCAGCAACAGTCTCCCGACACCCTCACAGCGCCGCAGCACCTCTGTGTTGAGCAAATGTTTCCGCAGCTCTCCTGAGAGGCTCACTCGCTCCAGCAGCCACGTCGGCACTGCGCCAAAGTCTGTCAGCAGCTGCAGTGCTCCCCACTCACTGTATAGGCAGCGGACACATCATATTATACTTGACATTATATACCATCACTTTGCCAATACTATAAGATGACAATATAAAATACCATACTTCACATTAATACATTACATACATACATTAATACATAATACTTTACATTGATTACTTTACATTACATTTATTTGTCCTCTTGTTGAAGCTTCCACTGTGAACTTATATTATACAGGGTGTTCATTTGAAAACTTTCCATATCTATTGTGTACAAATGTAAGGCTTTTAATACTTGTTTGTTCTCATTTCCCCCTAATTTGAACATGCCAAATCCAATAAAATTATTTTAAAATTAAGGAAATGCCCCAAAAGGACCCAATTTGGGGGGTAGGGGTGCTTTTTGAGAAATTTTTAAATGTAAACATGGGTTGTGTGATAATTCAATTTAAAGGTCCATGTTATGAAGAACATATTTGTTTACATTATGATCAGCTGGATAATTTAATTGCTGTTAATATTATTAAGCTGCAATTCAAGGAAGTGCGTGCTACAAACATGAAATTTTACTGACTTTGTGATAATTGCAGAGGAAACCCCTTCAAGGCTAAATAAAATTGGTACAGCAAGGAAATCTATGTTTCCATAAAAGTCAAGTGATTTTTGAAGAAAATGATTACTTCCATGAAACCTTTACTAAAACTTTTTTTAAAGGATTCAATGTTTAATTAACTATTATTCAAAGTTAAGGGAAACAAAATCCCATCTGAACAATATCAAGTCTTTAAAATCTGCATTTTCTCAGGTAAATATAATTGACATTATTACAGCGACTAACCACATGAATGTCAGTTGAACCAAATAAAATTGTAACGTGCAGGTTATGCAAGGAAATCAGGTAGGTGTGAACATATTTTATCGCTATTAAAAAAAAGACTGAAAGACTGTATACATACTGGCAACTATGCCGGTACCATGCAGGCTACATTGTCAATGACGAGGATAAACATGACAACCTTATGCGGTTATGAGTAAGTCGGGTTGTAGAAAACTCTAAAAAACCTAGATCAGCTTTTGAAAAATTATAAAATATTGACCAGAAACGTTGATTATATTGATCTGGCATAGACGTCGTTAGTATTTCCATTAGGCACATAATCTTTCAGTTGACCTTTTTTAAATCATCAGAAATGTTGAATATTATTTGTTTTCAAACAACTCCTGTATTACTTTGCAATTGCTTGAATTTGAGCAACATGTACACTAGTATTCATTCATATTCACATGATTGGGAATTCAGATCAATAAAGTTCAAAAGGCTGAAGGCTTTTGTTTACTGTAGACATTGTTCTACTGTATGATGTGTATTCTATAGCTTATATCTATTTTATGGAAAAGCTAAAATGATAAGGTGTTTTGCACAGTGTTAAGATTAGATTAACAGTGTAGTATTTTTTGGAATTTTAACTTTTTGTTTTGAGGTTGGCACCTGAGAGAGTCTGCCCTTCCTCCTGCCAATTCCTTGTATGTGACAATTCTTTAATAAGAGGGAAAATGGAATCCTTCTATGAGAGACAAGTTTTTAATTTAGAGCAAATAACCTACATAAAATATAATTCTATTTGGTTACATATAATATTTATTAGATTTTTTATTATTATCCATATCTTGAAATAACCATTGTACCTACCTTTAAAATAACTTTAAAGTCCCTTAAGAAAATTTTTCACCCAAAACAATTTTATGTCATGGGAGCCCATTGTGGAATATCAGGAAATTTGTAGCTAAGCAAAACTGTCCAGGGAAACAGGAAAATAAAGAACCTCGAAATAGTTTATTTCACAGACTTTGGTTGGTGAGAAGTTTGAAAGTACCAAAATTAACTTATATTACTTATAAGTAATATAAGTAAACATTTACTATACATACCATTGTTTTGAGAAAATCACCTGAATTTGATTTGGTGAGCGTAGATGTGGTCAAGCCATGCCTCACACATGATGTTGAGCACCATTCCACTGACTCTCTGTTGGACACTGAGGGGAAGGTGGGTGGTGGCAGACAACACTGGCCTCAGCACCTCCTCTACAATATTAAACATCTGAGTAATTACTAATTACAACATCCTCTGTCTATTTCAGTACTCAAAGGACTATTGATCACAAATAATAATTAACTAGGATTACGATTTTTTAATTACATATGAAAAAAGCTTAGCGGTTTAAAAAAAAAAAAAACAGAGTATTACGTCAAAAAAAAATGGCTACCATTTTGAAACAAATTAAGATAATTGAGTTCTGTTTTCGCCAAAATGTTGCTCTAAGCAATAACTTTCTAAAAATGTCCAATGTCATATAGGGTTGACCTAGGGAAATTTTGAGAGTTATAACAGTGACCTTCATTTGTGGAACAACCTGTGCTTGGATCATGTTCTAAGTATTTTAAATGTATTCTTCATGTATTATTTACGGGGGACTAATTTTATTTCGTGTTTCTAGGTGACAACGTACTCTCGTAAAAGTATGTGAACAGGTGGTCTGCTTCACCATGTCAGCACCATGTTAGCTGTAACTAAATGGCATAAAGAAAAATAATACCTGATAAAATTTCTTATAAAACAATTGAACGACAATCACGAATTGTACAATTGAACTGGCCCAGCTTGACTTATGTGCAGTAAAGAGCTGCAACTCTACTGACAGCTCATCTGAAGAGCTGCTAGGGGACTGAATATTCCAGTGTACAGATGCCAACATGATTGGGAAAAACGTTTGCTGAAATAAATTTGATTGAAATTCCAGTATTTAATTTTGTGACACTTACCACCCTTGACAATTAAGGTTTAGTGCTCTTCAGGAAATTTCCTCATACCACAGATAATTTACTCATGTACTAGATTAGATGTAAAAGCATACTAATCTGTTAAAGTTGCACTGTGCCCACCACATCATTTTGAGTTACCTAAGTAGTCTTCAACATAATTGCTGGCAAACTGTGGCATTTCATCAAGCCGCTGCCGCCAGTAGTGAGGATCAGGGAACATCATGTGTAGGTTGGCAAGACTGACTGTGCGGCAGACAGATGCCAGAATATCTAATACAACTGTAGACATGTTCTGGAACCATCAACAGATCCATACATTAATGTTGGCAATATTGACTATGAGGTATACAAAATATCCAATACAACTACAAAACACTAAATTTTAAAAACCTGAGAGGAGTTGAGGCACAAATGTAGAAAGACAAATTTAAATTCAATACTTTCATTCAGTCTTACTGGTTGCAAGTTCAAAAATCTGATTTTTCATTAAAAAAGATAGGGGTGGTGTAGCATTTACTTTCTGTTCTTAATCTTCCATGGCCCTGGTTTAGCCAACACATTAAATAGTCTATAATAGATTAGGGATGCCCAATATGTTGTATATTTTTATTTAAAAAGAATTCCCGTAAATTTTGTCAAGAGTGTTCTTATGACAGAGTCTAAGTTTGTGAATGTGCAATGGTACTGTCAATTTGATAATCTAACACAAATGTAAATCTTTTATAAAATACATCAAAAGTTAGTTTTTTCTTTTTCTATTGAATAGTACTATTTGCGAAACAAATTTTATACCTAATAAAATAAGTTTAAAAGTGTGTGATTACGTTTTTTTTTAAACCTACAACTTTGCAGCATAATTTCTAACTTAGGGGTCCCAAACCACCTCCGGTAATGAATCTCACTACAAATTGGGGCAGGGGATTCTATGACATGGACTTTAGGAGGGATGGGCACCTTTGTAAAGGATTAGTTCTATTTTGAACATTACATATATCAAAGAATCAATTAGCAAATCTTCAATTTAATATGTGCTACAACCACTTTTCTTCTTCTAAATGTGAAGATAAGACTTGCTGTGTTATAAGTTATTTCCGATAAACACCAATACCAATCTTATAGTTTTCCATACTAGACTTCTCGTGTAGCCTCTTAAAATAACTATCTAGTCTTAAATGTAATAACAAACTAAGAGTTTTACCTGAAGCTTTTCTAAATTTGCTTTTACTTCAGAGACAAGTTTGGCACGCATTTTGACACAGACGACTACATGAACACTACATTCTGCATTGAGAATATCCACTTGGTTAGAAAACTGTGGACACAAATATATCACAACAATCTTTCTTGACCATGCTTTTTGCTAATACAGAGTTCTCTTAATACAGCTATGTTATTTTATAAAATGGGGTGAAAACCACTGATAAAAATCACACTATATAGGTTCTAATATACATCATGATGTTCATACTTTTATGAAAATATATAATCTATTTGTATGTAGTTCATTCATATGATAAGATATAAAAAAAAATTAAAATAAACTACATATCAAGAGGATGATGCTTGAGTTTGACTTAATGTTTTCCCATGTTTCAAAGGACTCACCACATCAACTGAACTAGGCTGTTCTATACATATTTTTTTAATTGTTCACTAAATTATTTCAAATTTAATATCTTTAATTGGCTATCTGGAGTGTTTCAACACTTTTATCTATAGGTAAATCTAAATTTAAGAATACTGAAATTACTCAAATTTCATTTTTATAAATAATAGTCAATTAATGTCAAAAACTAAATCCTATGTTTATTTGCTTACGTTTCCCCATACCAATAATCTATGATAAAAAAAAACTTGTTTTGGATTTGTGAACTCCATGTAATGAACACTTGGAGGTTCAAAAATGAAATAGTGTGGTAGCAGATTCCAAGAAGTCAGGGTCAATCACTATGTAGTTGTGCAAAAATAAGTTAATATCTTTTAAAAATTGTTTATAAGATTGTTTACCACACAAATTGAAACAAAGAAGATACCTAATTACAGAAGCTAAATTATGATCAGAAGTAACATTAAAAACATTTAAAAGTAAACAAACAAACACATGTTAATCATAAAATCTGCTTATTATTGCAACGATTTCAATACCTTGAGCTGAGAGAGGTCTCGCAGACATGTATTGATGTCTGATTGGGTGACACGGAAGAACTGATCCATGTTCCAGGGGTTGGAGAGTTGCTTGGCACGACTCTGTACCCACAGTCGCACCGTGTGTATGGAGTGGTCGAGTCTATGCAGTACAGGGATCTGCTCCACCACTGGTAACTCCTCCAAGTCTTGCACAGTCCAGTTGGGACCCTCGCAACTGTTACTGAGCAGCATCAGGTCTGAGAACAGCTCGGAGAACAGCTTGCCTGTATATGTGCCCTGAAAAACATCATAATGTCGGCCATAGAATAAATACTTTACATTTAAACTGTACAAGAAATTTATTTATGATTGTTTTTTTTTTGGGGGGGGGGGAGAAATATGTTCACTTGACCCTACTTTGTAGAAGGCCCATAGTATGACTTTGTGTCAAAATAAACAAACTTGAGATCTGGTCAAGCCAATTAAAAGATGGTTGGAGTTTGGAGTGGAAGATAATGATTTGCTAAAAAAATGTACAAACAATGACACAACATTTACAGTACGGTACATTACAAAGGTGTCTTGCTGACATAGAGATGAGTACCTGGAAACTTAAACCTCAATGCATAAGTGTAAAAATGTGCCGTCTGTGAGCTGCAAACTTGTAGTCCAGTAAATCTGTCAGAAAAAATGGGGTTGCTGTGCAAAAGGTCGGGTAGTTCTGATTTTTGGATATGTTGTTAGTATTGGGCCCATGACATAAAATCCAAGTTATCCACCTCGAGATACTGCCGCTCGCCGCTGGGCGCGCCACTTGTTATCGGAATATAAAAAATATGGCAATTCCTATTGTTTTTGACTCAATCTCGCGAACCGTTGATTTTACCGAATATTTTAGATTATTACATTAAAGAAGAATAAATTTGTGACAGTTTAAGCCCAACAGCAAGTATGTAGCGTAAAAAATGATGAAAATACAGACCATCAAAATAAATAAATTTTCCAAAGACGTATAAAAATTGTGGTTTTTTTCAATATTTCCACAATATAGTTGTTTGAAGCAAACACCGTATTGATTTAGAGAGTATGCTAGTTTATTTGCTATTAATAGAAAATAAATGAAAGTATGAATAAAAATACCTCCACCTCAGCAAACCTGCAGACTAAGCAAATTTCCATTTGCTTGATTTGATTTTCACAAACCTATTTAAATAACATTAGGTTTAACTGGTACCTAGGTTAGCTGCTACAGGGAGGGTAATATATTTAATAAAATAATAATAGTATGACAAGAAACAAATAAATTTACCCAATTTTATAAAAATGTATCTATAAATAAGGAAAAAACAATAATAAAAAAATCTTCACTATTGGAATAACTTCAGGTTTTTTAATTTCAATTTTTTAATTTTCTCCGTAACCAATAACTGTAAAAAACATTTTAATGTACTAAATTATTTGTTTTTAAGCTCTAGAAAATTCTTTAACGATACAATTGTACAATTATATGTTTTGAGGGTTAAAAATTAAAAAAAAAATTCTTACTGGCGAAATACCTATAAGGCGACCGTTCCTATGGCCTTATTATGCCGATCATACTTCGCGAACTCGTTTTAATAAATAAATGAACGTTTACATGATTCAATGACTCAATGATTTATTTAGGCCACTAAGCAAAAGCAATAGGCTAAGTCACTTACAATACAAAGTAAATGATAAATAGTCCATCTCTTGATTCACAAATAAAAGTAATGTTTGTACCAAATTCCACTAAATCGGACGATTTTTGGGAATCATCGTGCTAATGGACGATAATAACTTTTTTGGGTACAGTTTAGTAAAATCTTTAGCTTTTTTGGATACAGGGTCTCCAAAAAACTCACCTAGTTTGAAAATTTATTTATTTATTGTACTAGATACAAACTACTGTTCAACGACTGATACCATAGAGAAGGCTATGCTGCTGATACATTAAATGAAAGGTAATAAAATAAAAGTTATTTTAACACTATCACACCTCAATATGCAAACCATTTGTAGCCCTGCAGACATGCAAGCTATTATTACTCATTTTTATCATTAATATTTTATTATTTGTACTACAATTTATTACCAAAACTATCTTCAAGGTCAAATAGGTGTACGCAACTTATTGCCAACGTACGAAACTAAAACTTTGAAGTACACTCTACACAGCACGAAATGATAATTACTCATCCATTTGAACAATAGTATCGTGATACGAGGTATGTTTAAAACTATAATATTTTTTGTACTAAAAACTAAAACTAAACTTAAAACTATGTATTTTTGGCCTCTAGGAATACCAAAATGAAAAAGTAAATCGGTCCCAGGTCTAGGTCTTACCATGAGACCTACTGTAATAGCGTATTCCCTATAAGGGAAATTTGCTAATAATCAGCACATCATTTATATTGGAATGGTGTGTGTTGAGGAAACCACTATTTAATCTTTTCATCAATTTCGTTGTCTCGAGCAATGCAAGAATGGCGCACGTCAACATGTTGCTCACTGTTAATGTTCAACTGACGTCATTTTTTATATTATTTCTCAACTTCCTACAGATTTGATGAGGACGGATCATCAAAAGCGCCCATCAAGTTACAACATTTTGTCTGTTTTTCTCGTCCTCGATTCAATCCTCCAGAGCTTTTCATTTTCTTTGTGAGGGCCTGTTCGATGGCCTAATCAGACCAAATTTCACACCAGAACTTGTCTGTACGTCTTGTAGTGAAATTTCCGATCCTTGTGGATTTTTTGTGTTCTTCTATATCAATCCTGTATTTTAATTCATATTCAGCATGTCCTGTATAGATGGGCGCACTTGGCGTGGAAAAATTACCCGCTGCATGGAAGATCTGTTGAGTGATTGTAAGTGGAAGATCTTATTTGCCTGATATTTCAGCCTCAATAAACTGTTAACTATGTTAAACTGTTTTATTTTGTTTTCATATGCAAGTATTGTACCCGAAGCTTAGCTTAAATGTTTATGTGTAAAAATTTGACAGCTTTGGGAAGAGTAGTTTTGCCTTTGAAGGTATATTTTGGAGGTCTGTTTTTCGGCATGTAAACCTACATTTATTAAAACGAGTTCGCGAAGCATGATCAGGCCATGGGAACGGTTGCTTTATAGGAGTTTTCGTTAAGAACGGGTTTTTCATATTTTTGACCCTCAAAATATAAAATTTTACAATTGTATCATTAAAGAATTTTGTAGAGCTTAAAAACAAATAATTTAGTACATTAAAATGTTTTCTACATTTATTGGTTACGGAGAAAATTAAAAAATGTAAATTAAAAACCTGAAGTTATTCCAATAGCGTAGATTTGTAATTATTGTTTTTCCTTATTTATAGACACGTTTTTATAAAATTGGGTAAATTTATTTGTTTCTTGTCATACCGTTCCTTATTTTATATAATATATTACTCTCCCTGTAGCAGCTAACCTAGGTACCAGTTAAACCTAATGTTATTTAAATAGGTTTGTGAAAATCAAATCAAGCAAATGGAAATTCGCTTAGGCTGCAGGTTTGCTGAGGTGGGGTATTTTTATTCATACTTTCATTTATTTTCTATTAATAGCAAATAAACTGGCATACTTTCTAAATCAATACGGTGTTTGCTTCAAACAATTATATTGTGGAAATATTGAAAAAACCACAATTTTTATACGACTTTGGAAAATTTATTTATTTTGATGGTCTGTATTTTGACCATTATTTACGCTACATACTCGCTGTTGGGCTTAAACTGTCACAAATTTATTCTTCTGTAATGTAATAATCAAAAATTTTCGGTAAAATCAACGGTTCGCGAGATTGAGTGAAAAACAATAGGAATTGCCATATTTTTTATATTTCGATAACAAGTGGCGCGCCCCGCGGCGAGCGGCAGTATCTCGAGGTGGATAACTTGGATTTTATGTTATGGGCCCAATACTAACAACATATCCAAAAATCAGAACTACCCGACCTTTTGCATACCAAAATGTCTTATTTTACTGGACTATTGAGCAACATCTTGAATTTGTGTATCATAAGTGGATTAGGATGTGGTTGGACTAAGCATGTGTCAAATCGTCCAAGGGGATTAGTGAGACCATGTTGATTGTACCTGTTCCACATTATGCACAATATGCCTGCTGTGCTGAGTACTGGCTGCTACCAGAGCTCTACGAAACAGTTGATCCCAAGACGTAGAAGTGACATGGCAGCACAGTGAGTCCTGTAGACTATGCAACGCTGGCCTCATCATGTCTGGCAATGTAACTGTAAAATAACTAAATGTCATAAGTTGGCATCTTTTATTATTAAGAAAAGCATTTTTCTTTAACTCTTTGATCACTGGTTTTTCATTGTGGTCCTGGCTAGAGCCAGCTGATGATTGTCAGAAACAAAACTATAATCTCTTTTTATCTAACAAACATCTTTAACTCCTCTTAGTCTCTGCACCGTGTGTCAGTAAGTCATTATTAATCAATGAAATCTCTTAAGATGGTTTCATAACGTTTGGTATTATAAACGCATAATTTAATTAATAAATTTTTGAAGGTGTTATGAAAGGAGATCAGATTTCTCATCCTGAAGCACTTTGACAACCCCTTTATAAGCTACAATACGAAATAGCTATTAAGTATTACATCAGACTAAAACAGACTTGATACAATGAATATTGATTTGACCAAAATTCAGGTTTTGTTAGAAAAGCACACCTGTTTGCATAAATGTGTGAAGCCACGAGCGGAAGTGATGGCAAGTTTGTGTACCCAGTGGACGAAAACCCCACCACAACAAGACATGGTCTAAGAAGGCACCTACTTCTCCCCACAGCACCTGCGAGTAATACTCCAGTACTTTGAGTCTCACTCTTCTACGTACCTTCATGTCACCTGTAACACACACTACATACTAAATACACCTACGACGAATAAAAAAGGAGCATAATTTTCTTCCTCTCTTCTCTTATTTTATCTTGTTCTATATTCAATGCAATTCAATTCATATAACTTTAAACATTTGAGTACAATACATAAATACAGGAATGGCGTCAAGAGTAGGTAATTTAATAAAACTAACTTAACTAAAATACTCATTATTATCATGCATGACGTTACATACCATCAATTAGCTTTTTGGCTCAAATAAAGTAAAACAAACAGTCCAATATAAAAGCTTTTACATGAAAAAATCTCAATAAAATAGTAAATAAAATTATTTTAAAACAAAAAGTTTCAATTTATATGAAATAAAGCAATAACTTATAGGACTAAAACTCTTTAAAAAAACTTGTTGATAAGATACTTTTTTCAATTAAAAATTTTTTTTTAGTTTCAAATTTTATTTCTTTAGGAAGTTTAGTATAAAATTTGGAACCATTATACTGCAGTTTGATTTAGGTATCTTTGTGAAAAGTTGCAGAGTATGTGAGTTTGTGGCCAGGTTTTCTCAATTTCTAGTTAAGTAATTGTGATAGTCTCCAATAAGCTTTATTCATTAAATCTGTCTTTTACTGGTAATACTGTTTCCTAGACATACATTCCATAAACAGTCCATAATATTCTCAGATTTAAAATGTTCTTTGACTGAAGTTCTGCGTTTTAAATTGCATAATATTCTATAGCTTTCTTTTGCATTTTATAATTGATTTTAATTTTTTGCTGCACCATAAAGTGAAACTCCAAATGATATGATAGAATGTATGTATGAAAAATATATAATTTTTAAAGTTTCCTTTCACATAGGGGTTTTAATATTGTTAGTGCATATAGGCCAGATGAAATTTTAGGAAGTAACTGATCAATATAATGGTCCCTCTTCAAATTTTTCATAAATTTCTTAAATCCAATCAGGCAAATGGAAATTCGCTTAGTCTGGAGGTTAGCTGCGGCGGGGGTATATGTTTTTAAATTTGTTCTATGTAATTCTTATGGGGGAAAATTGACCTTTGAGATCACCTTGCACCCTTAAGTGTGAGAATTTTTACATTAAAACCTTATTACAAAACTACAAATTGAGACAAATTTTGTCACACCTCAACCGTTGAAATTTGTCCGCAAATAAGGGAGGAGTAGTTCACAGAGCGGCTTCACGTATTTTAGATATAGAAATTTCAAAATTAAATTAATCAAAGTATGAATTGCCTTTGTCTGATTTTTTATAATTTTCTGTTATGCCATGCAGTAATAAAACAGATAGGCCTAACTTTGTATTACTTATCAGTTTTCAAAAAATAAGAATACTTTCTAAATAAAAGGAAATAGTAACAATTTGCTATACGGTATACCAGTTTGTTTGGACTGTTTGATGGCGTGAGGGCCCAGTAAAGAGGATGCAGACACTGATATAGCGGTGAGTAGAGGGGTGAGACGCTTGTCTTCAGAGTACAACAGACCGTCCAACATTGCTACATCAGAGGAGACCAAAGGCGTTGTGTCATCAGGCTCACCATACAGTAGTTCAGACTCGCCACCTTGCGGTGGTGTCATGTAGCGAGTCAGAGTCCTGCCACAGGAAACAATATATTTTATATCAGGTGTCCTTAAGCTGGTTAGCTGGTGTTGTATCAACGCCCCACTAGGGGCCTTGGTTGTATGCAATATGTTACTGTTGTGAGTTGTAACAAGTAGAAACTAAGTGAAAGTAAGCAAATTTATAGAGTGGAGAAAGGTTTGGGGTTTTATTCTGAATTTAATATACTTACATCTTGAACTTTAAAAATTTCCTTATAGATTTTACAAATTAACATTGAAAATATGTACATATGCTTATTTAAAAGTTTTTCGTTTGGTTTAGTGAATGTGAATGCCTACTTATTGGTTAGTACCTGTATATTTCCATGCTGGAATTGTCAGAGGATGGAAGGTCTTCATCGGAGAGAAGTGGCTCCGTGTCAGGGTCTCCGCTGTCTGCTGGGCTCACTCCTCTGTTGGTGTCAAGATAAAGATCCAACAACACATTCACTAGCAAGTGGCCACACTGCTCAGCTCGCCCCTGGGCCAGGATCTCAACAACCAAACAAACCAACTATCATCACATTGTGGGAGTAAATATACTGTATAAACAATAGGTGTACCTATGCCGTGTCCAATATTGTTTACTAATATTACTGTGAAATATAAAAGTGATAATGTAAATTTATATACTTTACCTGTAGAATTTTGGTAATGGAGAGACGTCTAAGTGGTTGCAAAAGAGATGGGCAAGTATTTTTGACGACGGTGATTCCTCTTGGCTTAGAAGTCAGGTTCAGGTTCAGGTTCAGGAGATCATTGAAAAATGTTACCAGTCTAGAAAAAAGTTTAAACTTTTACTCACATAAAAGTTTAAGACCTCTGATCGTAACCAAACCTTTTCTCTTAAAGCAAGTAGAATAAATTTATATTTTCAATCAAAATCAGTCTTGTTTTGAGAGTGAACATTGTGTTAATCTTCATATTGTCAATTATTTTAAGACATGCAAAATCCCAAACAACTGCTGAAATTAACCAATTGTTAAGCATAGTACTGTAGTCTAAAGGAGAAACGGTTCCATGAACAGGGGTAACGTTATATTGACTATCTGTCCTGTCCTTTGCAATGGAATGAAACTGAATAGGTCAGTAGGTTGCATATAAAATAAAGATATCTTTTGTAAACACTAAAACACTTACCACGGTACATAACTGATACTGTATCATAAGTTTACTATAAGGAATAAAGAAATAATAATACAGGCAAGCTTTATTTGTTATTTTTTGAAATGGAAAGAACAGTTACTGGAAACTACAACAGTTCTAGGTACAAATGAAAACTATACACAGAAAAAGTTTTCATTATTTAGCAGTGCAACATAGGGTGGCACTACTAACAAATCAAACCAGTCTCTTAGGTCTTTTATTGGAATCTTCCTTTACCTTTTATATGTCAGTAACATCACATTCGACAGCTTGTAAATTTGTAGTTAATTAGTACAGTGCAGTTCAACATAAGTACTTTATAACAAGTTGAAAATTGTTTGGAGTAATGTGCAGGTAATAAATAAAATATGATCTAAGTTATTATGATAACTGACGAAAAAAGCAGTTTTTCATAAACTACAAAATTGGATCTGATTAAGTTTTGTTCTCTCTCTCTCTGAAAAAAATAGTTGTGCTTGGGTCTACATCAAAGAAACACGTAAATATTGGCAGTGTTAAAGTTTTCGATACATGTATAATTTACTCCCGAGTTATATAGGACTTCAGGCAAGCTCAAGACAAGTAGATGTAAGTCACGTTCTGTCTCACGAACTGTCATCTTTGCCCACGTCAATGTTTACAGATTCTGGAGAAATGAGGATCTGCAAAGCTAAATCTACTCTAAAGAAACTTCTCCAGGTTTCTTCCTCGACAAGAAAGACGTGCATAGAAAACACACTTATTGTGATCGATGGATCTGCACTTCTATGGTGTGTGCAGTGGCCAGAAAAGGGGAGTGTACAGGACTTCATTAGTTGACTTAAAAATCCCTAAGCAAACATTTGCAGCACGGAAATGTAAACCTGATCGGTACAGGCAATATAGTACCAAGGATTACACAAGATCGGGTAGATCTACAGGAGTGACAAGAGTTCAACCACTAACATATATGTAGTAGAAGTCATTATAGTTTCATATATGAACAGTCATAATTATTAGTAACGGAAGAGTTATTATGTTTTGCGGGGTGGCTGCACTGTGCACTGAGCCCTGAAGTGGGATGATTCGTCACGGCTCCGTCTTCTATGTCCACCAACGAACGTAAGTGGTTCTCTTCCTGTTTTGTCCACTTTTCTAGCGTAACGTTTAGGTTACGACATTTTGGCGCAGTCGGTAATAAACCTTTTTATCATAGTTAGGGTAGTACGCGATAACAGTTGTTGTTTTAGTGCGTATTATAGTTGAGATGATTAAAAATGGCGAGTATTAGTGTTGGCAGGATTTCTGAATTTAATCCAAGTGAGGAGGACATTGTGCCCTATTTGTTGCGCCTGAAACATTTTTTCAAAGCGAACAATGTCAAGAAGGAAAACGAGGTGTCGGTTTTAATTACAGTTATTGGTCCCAGGGTTTTATCGGTCCTATCCGATTTATTATCACCAGTAGAGGTAGATTCTAAGACCTATGATGAACTTGCAGCGTTGTTGAAATTACATTATGCGCCCAAGAAGTTGGTTGTGGCGGAGCGATATGTATTCTACTCTCGTGTGCAAAAGCCGGGCGAAAGCATAGCGGAGTTTGTGGTTTCAATAAAACATTTGGCTAGTTCGTGCAAATTTGGTACCTTTTTGAAAGACGCTTTGAGGGACAAAGTGATTTCCGGCATTTCTAATGAAACTATCCGGCAGAAATTGTTGTCGGAGGAATTGGACTTTGACGAAGCTTATGCGTCAGCGCTCAGGCTGGAACAGGCCGAATCGCAGTCAAGCCTATTTGTGCAACCTCGTGGGGACATTGCGAAAATCAATGTGAAAAGTCAAAATAGGCCTAAAACTTTCATGCATAGGAGTAGTGAAAATCAAAATTCTAGAAACTCTTGCTGGAGGTGTGGTTCTGCGGGTCATTGGCCTAGTGCGTGTGCGTTCGCCAGTTACAAGTGTCACGGTTGTCAGAGAGTAGGTCATCTCAAGAAAGTGTGTAAAGCCAAGAAATCTTCTAGTTTCCATGGTAAAAAGTCGACACCTAGGATGGGGGTCCATCAAGTGGAGGAAGAGGTAGGCCTAGGCCTAGAAGTTCCAATGGCAGAGATAGGTCTGTACAACCTTAAATCAGGATCAGACAACGGCTATAAGGTAGGCCTAGTGGCTAATGATGTATATTTAGAAATGATTCTAGATACAGGCAGTGCCTTGACTATATGTCCTTCTGAGATATTTTATGAAAAATTTTCTAACCTCAAACTTAGGCCAGCAAATGTGAAACTTACTACTTATTCAGGTCATGATGTACCTGTTCTGGGACAAGTGAATGTCAATGTTAAATATAATAATCAGCAGGCGAGTTTGCCTTTGACAGTAGTTAGTTTAGAAAGTAAGAGTCAGCCGATTCTGTTGGGGCGAAACTGGTTAGGCCAGTTGAGGTTAGATTGGCAAAATGTGTTTTCATGTAAAGCCACTGTGGATCACAGTTCTGATTTGGACATTGCTAAATTGAAGAGTAAATTTAAGTCAGTTTTTCAGCCTGGAACGGGCGAAATTAAGGGTGTTAAGGCTCATATTGTCTTAAAGGAGGGGACAGTCCCTAAGTTTTGTAAGGCGAGACCAGTGCCTTTTGCGTTAAGGGAGAAAGTTGAGAGTGAGTTGGACCGCATGGTTCAAGAGGATGTTGCGTACAGAGTTACTAATTCACAGTGGAGCACTCCACTTGTGGTTGTCCCTAAGCCTAATGGTGTTAGGCTTTGTGCCGATTATAAGATTACTCTTAATCAGTGTATTGAAATGGAACATTATCCGCTTCCACAGGCTCAAGATATTTTTGCAACTCTAGGCGGTTGCTCAGTTTTTAGCTGCCTTGATCTTTCAAATGCGTATCAGCAATTGGCGGTAGCGGATGAATCGCAACATCTGTTGACCCTAGCTACCCATAAGGGTCTGTATCGTTTAAAAAGGCTACCATATGGTTTGTCTTCAGCTCCTGCAATTTTTCAGTCAGCCATCGACCAAATTTTAACAGGTCTTCCAGGAACGGTGGCGTACTTAGATGACGTCTTAGTGGCGGCTCGCTCTAAGGAAGAGGGGCTTGCCCGTCTGGCGCAGGTGCTGCAACGCCTTGATGAGTTTGGTGTTCGAGTAAACCAACAAAAGTGTAAGTTTTTGCAATCTTCAATCGAGTATTTAGGACATGTGATTACTCGAGATGGTCTCCGTCCACAAGAAAGTTTGTTAACTGCGCTGCGTAAAGCGCCTGAGCCTAGTACTAAGGAAGAGTTACGAGCCTATATTGGTCTAATAAATTATTATCATGCATTTATACCTAACCTGTCTGCTAGAATAAGCTGTTTTTATGACTTATTACATAAGGATCATCCATGGGTGTGGTCGGAGGTGTGTTCTAAGACTTTCCAGGAGAGTAAATCATGGGTGTTGGACTCAAGTTTGTTAGTTCACTATGATGTTAAAAAGCCCATAGTTCTGACGTGTGATGCGAGTCCCAGAGGGGTGGCTGCTGTTCTATCTCATCTTATCGATGGTCAGGAAAGGCCAATTGCCTTCGCATCGAAAACGCTAAGTTCCAGTGAACGGAATTATTCTCAGTTACATCGGGAGGCTCTGGCTTTGATCTTTGGAGTCAAAAAGTTTCATAAGTATATATATGGAAGACACTGTATTCTACAGACTGATCATCAGCCGTTGACGGCTATTTTTGGCTCTAAAAAGGGCGTTCCTAGTATGGCGGCAGCTAGGCTGCAGAGATGGGCCTTGATTCTATCAGCATATGATTTGGAGGTTAGGTACCGGAAGGGAGTGGATGTCCCTCACGCTGATGCGTTGTCTAGGTTACCCTTAGCAGAAGCGGAACCTATAGAGCTGGATGCTAATTTTGTTTCACATGTAGATATGTGTACAGAAGTGATGAACAATTTCTGTGTTGTCAAGGACATTGCACCTATTACTGCCTTGCATATAGGTAAAATGACGGATAAGGATCCGATTCTTTCGAAGGTCCGAGATTTTGTGATGTACGGCTGGACGAGCTCGGTTGAGCCGGAACTAGCTATTTTTCTAAGGAAGAAGGACGAGTTGTCCGTGGAACAAGGTTGTTTGCTGTGGGGTTCTCGTGTAGTGATTCCAAAGAAACTGTATTCATCTGTGCTTCCAAATGTTGCATGATCAACACCCGGGAGTTACACGCATGAAGATGCTGGCGAGAAGTTATGTCTGGTGGCCAGGCATGGAGAAGTCGATTGAAGACGTGGTGGCCTCTTGTTCTGCGTGTCAGTTAACTAGGAATTCGATACCTAAAGTACCGTTGCAGCAATGGCCTACAACATCAACCCGATGGCAGAGGATACACATTGACTTTGCGGAGGATCCAGAGTCGAGACAGCAACTTTTAGTTTTGATTGACACATACTCTAAATGGTTAGAGGTATTTATCATGAGTTCCATGAATTCTTCCAAGGTTATTGAGAAACTCCGTACCTTGTTTTCATCGTATGGATTGCCTGTCGAACTGGTGTCGGACAACGGAAGATCTTTTACTAGTCAAGAGTTCAAAACCTTTTTGCATAACAACAATGTGAAGTTCACATTAACTCCCCCGTATCATGCGGCTTCAAATGGATCTGCGGAGAGAAGTGTTCAGGAGGTCAAGAAAAACCTTTTGCGTCAAGTGATTGAGGAACATCAGCGTTCTCAGCGTACCACTCTTCAAATGAAATTAGATAATTTCTTGTTTGCGTACCGCAACACTCCAAATACAGTTACTGGCTTAACCCCTGCAGAAATGTTCCTGTCTTGGAAGCCTCGTACTCAGTTGGTTATGTTAAAACCCAATCTCCAGTCATCCATTGATCAAAAACACAGGGAACAAAAAGATGCAGCTGATAGGCTTAGGGGAAGAAGCAGATTTTTCTCAGAAGGTCAGGCAGTCTATGTCAAAACTGTCCGAAATGAAAAGATATCTTGGGTTCCTGGCAAAATAATTCTAAAGAGAAGTCCGGTCACCTATCTGGTGAGTGTTATTGGTGGAAAACCCCGATTTTGTCATGCGGATCACTTGAGAGCTCGGTATGCAGAAGAGGAGGAGATTTTTGTATCACCCAAGGATCCCGTTGTATCACCCCAAGTACCCAAGAATTCACCCCCGCCGGAGGATCGACCAACTAGTCCCATGATGATGTCACCTGTACCTAGGCCTACTACCAGTCCCAGGGAGAGCCTAGGGCAAGCCCAGCCTCAGCCAACTCCTGCGTCGCCGCTAGCACAGTGCAGCCCACCACCCTCGCTGAGGAAGTCTGCACGGACTGTGCGAAAGCCTCACAGGCTGGACTTGTAAAATTATTAATGAATAATGGGAAGAAGAAATTTTGGTTGCATTTTATTGAAAGTGAATTTATTTTATTTTGAAAGTTGAGTTAATTTTGAAATTATGATATTGACTTTTTTTTATGGGGAAGACGAGTGTAGTAGAAGTCATTATAGTTTCATATATGAACAGTCATAATTATTAGTAACGGAAGAGTTATTATGTTTTGCGGGGTGGCTGCACTGTGCACTGAGCCCTGAAGTGGGATGATTCGTCACGGCTCCGTCTTCTATGTCCACCAACGAACGTAAGTGGTTCTCTTCCTGTTTTGTCCACTTTTCTAGCGTAACGTTTAGGTTACGACAATATACAACACCTCTGCCTCCATGTAAGGATATTTTGGGCTCAAATGAAAACAAAAAAAGATTAATTGAGCTGATTTGCAGTAGTATTAGAAGAGACGAATCTTTCAACAATGACAATACTACCAAACACAGGCTTATTGTAACAGGTCTTCAAGAAGAACCCTACCAGATTTATTGCGGAGAACTACAACTAAGGCACGATCTACGAAATTCTCACGAAGAAGCTGATACGATTATTGTATAACAAGCTATATTAGCTGCTAATAATGAAGACAAGCAGATCGTTGTTGTATGAGATGACACAGACGCTTTTATTCTCCTCCTTTACTTCTACAATCTTAAAAACATTTCCGCAACTATTCTGATGGAATCACCTGTCCAGGGTCGCTCAAGAATTGATATTGGAGCATCTGTCGTCAAACAGAAGGAAATAATACCTGATTTGCTTGCAGCTCATACTATCACTGGATGTGATACCACTGCAATGTGCTATGGAATCGAGAAGATTAAAGCCATTAAGGTTTTGAAAAGTGGACACTCCTTATCATTGGTTGGAGATATACATGCTGATTTTTGTGACATAAAGCTGCAAGCATCGAAGTTTATGTCTGCATGTTACGGTGTATCTAATTGTTACACAACTTCTGAGGCTCGTGTCAAACTGTGGGCTGGGCTGACAAAGTTTGAAGTGCAAAAACTCAACTGCTAAAACTGTGCACACTACCACCAACAAATTCAGCGTTTGAAGAAAACCTTAAGAGAGCACACCTTCAAACCTGTATTTGGAAGCATTCAATGGACTCTGACCCACCAGATTTAGATCCACTGTTTTACGGTTTTTACAAGGATGAAAACTCAAGATGCCTCCTACCCACAACTATGCCGGAAAATATTTTAGTTGCTCCACCGGAAATTGGAAGTTGGTTAAGTGCTCTTGCAGAAACGTATTGCCATTCAACAGCAATCAGTATAGTTGCAAGAGTACCAGCCTACCATGCACCATGTTCTGTACATGCTCAAACAGTTCCTGTTCCAATGATTTGACACGTGTTGATGAATTAGAAGTAGACTGGGAAGAAGACCCTGTTGAAGAACCAGTGGCAGACTGATATCTGTTTGGACAATGTTTGTTTGTTCTTAGTCATAAATGTTTTATTTTATACCAATATGTAATCAATATAAGAATTTCACCTATTAGATTGTTTACTTGAGATATTCACTTTTTTTGTACAATAAAAAGTGGCGTTGTTTAAAAATAATTATTCACAACACCTACCACATTACAAAATGTGAATTATTTTTAGTTTTGTTTTTATATTATTCTTTTTTATATGGTAAGAACTTTTAAGAAAAGAATATTTCTAGATACTTTTTACTGCTTCCATTGAACTCAGCGTACATAAAAACATTTAAAATTATATATATAAATAAGCATACAAAAATATTTGGAAAAATTCTAGATGGCGGCGAAAACTCGAATTGCCCAAAGGTGACAGAATGTCATCATGCATTTTCTTGAAGCTGTATATGTCCTAGTAACTATTCATAAATAAAAAAAAAACTTAATCCAAAATTTTTGGGTTTTGGGCTTAGCAACCGGACTAGTACATACAAGTACTATTGTACTAATCATATCTTACGTGATCACACTATTTTGATGAGTTGGATCCTCAACACAGTGCACTAGAACCAGGGTGACAACTTGGTTGATGAGGTACAATGTTGCCAACCGTTGATGCCATGTTTTTGCTTGCCAGAACTCGCAACGGAAGTTGAGGACATGACTAGACGTGTCTGGGCCTGACAATACACTGCGGTATAGTGTCATCATGTGTGGTAGTTCCTTTGATATCGATTCCAAATCCTGGATAAACATTAGATTTAGCTGTATTCATTTAAAAGGTAAACATAACATAGCCAACTTTGCATCATTTTTGACTCAGGCCATGGTATATACCTAATATAATTAAAAATATCAAATGTTAAGATGCTTTATGTATTTTTTTTGTCTATGCTTATTACATCTAAAACACCTTCTAGACTTTATGAAGAAAAGTGCAGAGTTTTTCCTAACATGCATCATTTTTGTACAGTGGATTTTGTTTTTTGTATAAATGTGGACTGTTAAGAGGGATTCTTAATTTTATGGGTAAAGTTTATTATAGCTGGTACAAATGGATATGAAAGCAATTTAATATTTTCCTGTTTCAAAATTCATACTTCTTCATGCATGTTTACAGAGCTGTGTCCAGATAGGTTAGAGATGAAAGATTTTTTGGACCTCTAAAATGTTTAATTGGTTTGGATAATTTTCTTACACAAGAAGATTTACGTATTGAGTTTTAAGGAGTTCAGAGGCTGAATGTACTGACCTGCCAGTTACTTGGATCACTCTTTAGTATGTTTCCAAGTCTTGCTCTCAGCCTGGTGCTTAATCCATAGATTAGTTTACAATTGTTTGTGAACTCTTCTGTTGCCTTATCTTTTGATGGCTTCCATTTCATGACACTCATCTCTACCTCTTCTTTTTGATCATTATAATACTTCCATTGAAGATTACAATGGAATAATTATATTATTCTAATTAAATGTCCTAAAAAAAGTAGTGGATAACTATGAAGTTATTAAGCGACAAATATTTTTATCCGTGATCAAGAAGAAGAGGTTTTGACTGTTGCAACATTTTCAAATCGTTGATTGCTCCATTAGCACCTGCAAAGAATAAAATGAAAGATTGGAATTTTTTAACAGTGTGACTTTTTACCGAAATAAACCAAAAAAATACAAGCTGTAGGCAATAAAAATGCAGAAACCCTCTAATATGAACCATGGACACTCATATTTAATATCCACACTATTTTCAGGACTAGTAACGTAATATACTATTCTACAACTAATTAAGTCCAGTAATTGGGTTGGTGAGTCGTTAGCGCCACAGACTTCAGGACCAAGGCAGCGATGTCGTGGGTTCGGATCCTGCCATATGCCCACTACCTTTTAACAGTAAGTTCACCCTTGTATCATAGAATAGAAAAAAAAATGGTGTTTATTTATTCTATGCTTTTACTGTTTAGGCTCGACCCTTGCTTTGCTGGATATGTTCCCCGTACATGTCTCTGTGGCCCCTGTGGACGAGCAAATGCAAGGTAAAAAGAGGCCACAAACCTCCTTTATTAAGGAAACGAATACATATTTTGTAATATAAATGCAAGAAATATGGGTTGGTCACACGATCCTTTTTAGCAGCCACCGGGTTAGAATAAAATTCACAATAATGCTAAAAAATAAGACAAAAATTGTGAAAATCGGTTAAGTAAAAGAGCCAAATGAACTTGGAAACGAAAACACAAATTTAACTCCCACAAGAAATACAAGGAGGAAGTTGATTTTGAGCATAGCTCGAAATATACGTAAGATAAATGAACGCAAATGCTTGATAGCAAATCTTTGAGTGAATACCTTTAATTTAAGACCAAAATTATGAAAATCGGTCAGGTAGAAGAGCTGAACCAACTCTGAAAAGAAAAACAAATATTTTTAATATATAGATAGTCAGGAGCCCCGCGCAACGGTTACCTCCCGCTATCTCCGCGTCCAACCAAATTTTATACAGACTTGCATACAGTTTCTCAGAGTGAATAGAAAAAGCTGAACTATTTATTTTACTTTTACTTAAGCGTCGTAAATGTTGACGAAACAAAAGTATTGGGAGGCAATCCGTTACTAAATGTAAGACCTTCAGGAGTATATTTCAGTTTTTATATGATGATCTCAGAAAGGATGACAAGATGTATTTTGGTTGTTTTCGGGAGACGAGACATTCTTTTGATATCTAACCTTATAGGAAACCTCATAAGAAAATGAATTATTTTATTTCAGCTAAGGAGAGGCTAGCATAGTCAATGCTAGCACTTACCTTAAATTAAATATTATAATGGTTTTTATTTGATATAATCGTAATATTAATACAATATTAGCAGCAAAACTCGGTGTTGCCCAGGTCAATATAAAATTCACAATAATGGTAATAATTGATCAGTAATACAGACAGTATCTTGAACTTAACTGATTCAAATGGTCAAAATCTCAAATGAAAGCCTTTGTTTGTTTTGAGGGGTAGTCCTATTTTAATACCAAGACACGTAGAATGACTTAAATAAAAATGGAGTTACGGTATCATTGATTGCAGATAAGTGTTAAAATAATAATAATGATTGTTGATTCGTGATTCAGTAACCTTCACATACGTCTGATCGTAATAATCAACAGCTCAAAATTAAAGCTGGCATTTCACTGAAGGTTCTTAGACCAAAACATATAGGGTAATGTAATTAGAACTGGCGAAATACCGTTTTAATTGAAGTAAGAATTTGAAAAAATCGGATTTATTTTTTTGGTCGAGTAATACAGTAGATACATGAATGATGATGCTTGGTGGCAAATCTGTTCGTGAATACATTTAATTTAAGAAAAAATTATGAAAATCGGTCAGGTAGAAGAGCCGAACCGACTCGGAAAAGAAAACCAATATTTATTACTATATAGATAATATTATTAATATAATAAAATGTTGAAACAAAATCAGGACTGAGGCGAGGGCAGAGAGTAGGGTCCGCTGGGGGCAGACTCAACTGGTCCCGTAAGCCAGGTACCCTACTTCTACTGGGGAGACGGTCAGAGGGTCCCAGCCTCAAAATCTACCTAAAAATCCTTTGCCTGCTTTGGTGAGCGTTGCCACAGGGTCCCGGGCCGACCCCTCATTAATCCTGGGACCGTCAGACCGCAGTCGCCTGGAAAGGATTAGGTTCGGGTTTGATAAATGTTGACAAGGGGCAGCGTATTTCTATCTTTCACGATCAACTTAGTAAATTTAGTCACTAATTATTTAACAAAGAATTGTCACTTAAAATTTTAAAACGTCCCATATCTGTTGTTTGCACTCGTTATGTTCTCATTACTCCCTAATTCTGCCATGCCGAATTCAATACAATTATTTTCAATACAGAAAAATGGACCAAAAAGGCCCAATTCGTACAGGCGCTTTTTGAAAGGTATTCAAATGCATATGTGTAGTGTGATATATTCATTTAAAGATCTAATCACCCTAATAATTTTGGTGCTAATGAAAATAAATTGTCTCTAACAGTATTTACAGGGTGGGCCAAAACGTTTATAAAAGGACTTTGAAGTCAAATGCCGTATACTGAACGAAACAGCGCCAAATTTATTATAAAGCATATTTTTAGCTACTGTTTAAGACAACTTGCAGTAAGGGCATTTTGTGTTAATTTTTAATTTTGAAAAATCCCCAACTATAAGATTAAAAAGGGGTTGAACACTCTACATTCTCAAATACCAAGGTATGACAAATTTTATAGTTAAAGGCCTTTAAAAAAATATTTTTATTCAAGTAGTTTTTGTAATATTAACTACTACCTAATTTACTTTTAGCGAATTTCCCTATAGGGAAGTAGCTATTACCGTAGGTCTCATGGTAAGACCTAAGCCCGGGACAGATTTACTTTTTCATTTTGATGTCCCCAGAGGCCAAAAACACCATTCGTTCGTATATATATGTGTCCATCCGCACGATAACTTGAGTAATTTTTGTCCGATTTTGATAAAATTTGGTTTGAAGGTGTAAGGCGGGATAAACTTGAATGAGTTCGCGAACCAGCATGATCGGACTATGGGAACGGGGGTTTATGGGGGGTTTTATGGGGTAAAAATAGGTTTTTCCCATTTTTGACCCTAAAAACACAAAATTTCACAATTTATTTTTAAATCATTTTGTAGGGCTTAAAAAAACAAATAATTTAGTATATTGAAGCGTTATTATGCGCCTAATTGTTACGGAGAAAATTCAAAGAAATTGTAATTTTAAAATTCCCATGTTATTCTTATGGAGAATAAGTCAACTGTTGTAGTTTGCTTGTTTATGAACATATTTTGATCAAATTTGGAAAATACATTAATTTCTTACTAAACCACAGTACCTTTTAATATTTTACATAAAAAAACTTTTTTACCCTCCCTGTTGCAGCAAACCTAAGTACTCATTAAACTAATTCTGTTAAAATAGGGAATAAATGTGATATTTTTAAGGAGACATTTTAGTTTAAATCCAATCAGGCAGATGGAAATTCGCTTAGTCTGCAGGTTTGCTGCGGCGGGGGTATTTAGTATAAATGCGTGTATAATAAATCTACCCTATGTAAGCAAGCTAAGTTGTAGGCCTACCCATAAATTAGGTTATAGCAATTATAACTTTTAACACATCTTTTAAATATAATTAACTATACGAACATTGAAAAATAACTGAATTATTTCTTTTGACTGTATTCAAACAATAAATCCGGTAGCCTTAATGTTTATTCAGGAAAATGCCATCAATAGCTAGTACTGGGAAAGGTGATGGAAATGCCTATTGTAGAATATTGTTTGGTCCGTTTATAACAAAGTATTCGACTTATTGTTGAATTCAAGCTAATTCAGAAACATAGGTCAGCACTTGGAAAGGAAAATGGAATATGAGTGAACAATGCAAAAACAAGCTCCGTTAATCCGTTCGAATTTCTTAGATTCCAGTAATTAGGTGACAAGTCACTCGGCGTTCCATTTTTAGGCATATGATCGTGTTTAACCTCAAAATATAGAAGTGTTCTATTCATTTAGTATGTGAGTAGGTGACACATTAAAATCCTACATCCGGGGCCGATATACTTTTAACGGTGTCCGTGAACACGAGAACTTGGGTAATTTTGGTCCGATTATGATGGCATTTGGCTTGAAGGTGTAGAACGGGCGTGAGTTAAAAACAATTTTCATGATATAAAAAAACACACTTTATTGCCCTCCCTGTAGCAGCTAACCTAGGTTCTTGTTGTATAATGCTAAAGGTAACGGAGAAAGCTTGAAAATAAAAAAGACGACATTTGAAATATCTTTGTTATTGTTGTGGAGATGTAGTTTACATGTTTCTCATTTTACCTTCGTAGCAGCAAAACTAAACACTCTTTAAAACTAACTTTATTTACGCTATTATTTTGCCCGTGCCGAGGGTAGAATATAAACATAAATTCCACAAGGATGTATATTTCTAGTTTTACTGTTTGATGTATTTTAATTGTTCGTGGTAATATTAATTTAACTTAGCTGGGGATTACACTATGTAAATAGCTTTCTAATATATTATATGATTAACAGTTTTGCCAAATAACTTTAAACAGTATAAACTCTCGTATAATGTTAATTCCTAAACATTCTAGTTTTTTAAGACATGCAGCAGTTTAGAACTTCACATGTAGGCCCTATACATACTTCACATATAGTTAAATTGTTTTAATATAGTTATGCAAGTGTCATCAAAACGGGTTGACACTGATCATTATTATTCATATCCTTATACCGTTAAAAATAAATAGAATTTCCTTCAAATCTTCATTATTTGTTTATAAACAGTATATCAGTAGTTTTTTTCTCTGTTTTCATGTCAATAACTGTAAATAGTTGTATTTTTTAGTTTTACTGTTTGACGTCTTTTTATGATTATTAAGTGGTACTAATAATCCATCTAAACTTATGTAATCATTATATATTTTTTAATAAATTAGGCTTTCACGACTTTATTATTGTACTCTATATGATCTAAACGTTTTATGTAGAGGTTAATGCACCCGAGTAAACAATAAAAA